ATGTCACATTCTGAAAAAAATTCTGATATCCCATGATGATACCTCCACGTTAACCAACACAGGACCCCCAGCCTTATTCCCTGTTGGGTGAACAGTTCCTTCTTTGTTCTGTGTTTGTCTTCCACTGTTAGCCTAGAGTTCGCTTCTTTCCCCTAGAGTACATTTTATAAAAACCCAAAGGCATTCCAGGCCCAAAATGTCAGTGAAGTCGCGGTGTACTCTTCGCCTGCAAACTAAACCAACTTATGATACCAAACATACCCCCTCAGGCTTTGATTCATAAATTCATTACACTCATTAAGCTTCCTGATGGTATTTCACGCGTTTTTGAAAACCCGTACCTCATCCTAGCTGCAAGGTCTCTCAGGAATCACTCTTGTAGTGCATACCGAAGATACAGAACATCTTAACAGGCTAATGCTTTTTTGGCTCATTTTCAGAATCGGAAGACTTGTAAACATCTTATTGCGCAAGGAGCTTTTACCAAGTTCTTGCTCTTCTTAGTCGGACCAAATGCTGAAAATGTAAGTTAACTTAGTCATCGGCATAGTCTTAGTAGTATAGTAGGAAATGATTAGGCCTTCCATTCCACAGGAACTTTATTACAGTGCAGAGGGGTACATTTAATTACATGACCACATACTCTACTCATTTTGCCCTAAGCGAGAAGTAAGGGTTAATGTTAGCTTAGGGGAGTGGTAGGAGGGCAGTTTCCCAGAAATCTAACTTGATCCGTTCCTATTTTTCTCTAGGGGTCCAATCGTAGGTGGAGCTCTATCCAAGCACAGGAATTTTCTCATCTATACAGCGTACTTGCGTTCCTTGTGAGGTCATGTGACGTGTCCACGCAGATTACAGTCGGTATGAAAAATACAAGTATTATACCTCACTACTAAGGTTATAGTTACTTCACCATACACCTGTACTGTGGTCATATCTCCACACAGATCGCAGTTGACAATAGAACAGCACTAGTTATAACATACTGCATCGCCGTACTGTGATACCATAGGCAAACTATAGGCTATAAGCATTCTTGAGTCTGTACCGCTACGGACGTTTGGGCTTTTGGCTCGTGAAATGGCCCACGTTCGATATATTCAATTCTAACTTGGCTCTCAGAAAGCCTTGGAGTCGTGTCATGTTAGTCATGTTAGAATTTTAATGTATGAAACGTAGGCTGTTATACTACAGTTTACTACTCCACCTACTGTTAGACAGTGCTTCCAGAAACAACCCTTTACAATACTATACCACATTGTATTCCTTCATATTTCAACAAAGATTACGTCTTTTGTATCTAGCGCAATAATATTTCTGTTGCTGCAATTAATTGAGTATAATTTCTGGTTCAGAACCCAGGTCTTTGCGGCCCACGTTCTCGGATATGGTCCGTACAGACCCACTCATCCCCATTCCATCTCAAATGGAAGACGCCATATTTGGTGTAAACAATGATACTTACATCAGAGAGGTAAGGCTTACATACACGATTGTACTTGTTCCATTTACCTGTATTTTGCTATTGAATTTTCATTAAGTAGGAAGCATCCATTCAATTGGTGGTAATCGCCCGGAAACGACACAACGATCACTTCGAGCCTTGCGTTGTCGTTTTTGAGATTACAATTTCTTCATAGTTTGTTGCCTGCAATAAACAGACACGACCACAATTGCTCGCGTTGGCCGTTTTCACCCGCTGTTTGCCTCCCCCACCTCTCCCCGTCTTCGACAAATCATGTGACATTATTTTGATTTCAGACATCTCACTATTAAGATGGCGGATATCGTGAATTAGTTCTAAAGGTAACCCTCTCTGAAAAAACACCTCTATAACAGACAGCTGCCTAAAGTGGTCACCCAGTCACTGCCTGCCTTTCATCGGTCATTTTCATTGACTGCCTTAGGCAGACACCTCTCTAAGATGAACACCCTAGAGTCGGTCGCTGCCTATCTTTACCCCTCTTTTTGTTGACTCTTTATGATGGGACAGACATCTCTCTAAGACGGACACATATTGCCGATCCAAGAGGTGTCCATCTTGCAGAGAGTTGTGTGTATTGCTTCTAATTGCCTCCTTCCCGCAGATGTCCACAGCCATTTGTGATGTGATAGGTACATCCCAGCAGATCGCCAACATGTTTATTCATTGCAGCTGGTGCAATGAACACTTCAGTGTTAAAGTCTTACAGCATATCAGGGTAGGTATTATCCATGCTCATATGCACGAAGAGCTAACACATACACACTGGAAAAAAAAGAAATAGGGACCCAACTTTTTAAGCCCCAGTATCCTCGTACAAATTCTCTACACTGATCTCCATACATTTCCTTAAAGAATAATAAGTTCAACAAATTTGTGGAAATTCTCATAACCTTTTCTTTTGATTATGTATGGATATTGTTATGAGGAAATCAATGTTGTTTACTCTTTAAGACTTATACTGACAGCTCTTTTCAAAGGCCTTTCGTACCTCTCGTTCAGCTTTGCAGACTTCATTGCCATTAAGCTAGATTGTTTGTGAGATTCTGAAGCTGATCTAAGAAACAACTGGTTTTGAAAACCTCTCTCACACTCAAGGAAACATTCACAAACCAATAATGAAGAAACTGAGGACGGGTCACACCTTTCTATAGATTATCTCACTAAGGAGTAAGTTGAGAATGGTCGCGGAGGCTTTAGACTCGCTCACATGTCAGGCTGTACAGCTGTTCCTTGGAGCGCGAAAACGGTGTGTGAAGCGCCAAACTCGAGCGTTACGAGAATGAGAAGCGAGATCTGGTCGTTCGTGATAGACGGGATTCCTACAAACGCGAAGGACTTTGAGGAATGTACTTCATACCTGACCCATCCCTCCCCTACCCCAAGAAATGCTGTTTCCAATTGAACACACAGTTTACAGCTGTCCTTCCTTTTTTGTGTTAATTTTCCAGGTTCTTCTGGCTACCGTCTCCGCTAATGATATGAAATACCTGTTTGGAGCTCTTCTTGATATACTGGTAATATGACTCTTGTACCCTAGTCTGTTAATAGTAATCTGTACGACTCCCCACTGTTTCTCATGTTTTGTGTCAGATTTTTGTCGACTTTTTTATTCATTCCTTACTTCATAAACCATGGAAGGTCTATTCTTAACAACCTTATAAAGAACTATTGAATTTTGCATTGATTCTTGGGCTTGAAAAAATAAAGCTATGTTAATCACGTCTGCAAAGTCTTCTTAAAGCCTTGTTTACTTTCAGATTTTCTTTCAATTTTGTGGAGGCTCGCTCTTTCACTGAGAACATTATTTTTCTTTTTCAGATGGTGGAAGATCCATTACAATTGTTGCGAATAAAATGCGTAGCTGATGAACAGGGTGACGGAGTTTTAGGTAATTTTATTAGTAGGTCTGGTTAGGTTGCGGTAAGAGCTGTGAAAGTTTGGAAATGTTTTATTGAGGTTGCGTTGGAGACTATGGAGACTGGGACGGTGGACGATACTACTCACCTTCCCGTGGTTGCGCGGAGCCTGGGTTATAATTACTCGATAACACAGACCCACAGTTCCCATGATGCAGATTGACACAACACCGACCCAGTCCTCCGCGCGCGCAACCTCACAGTGGTGAATAACCACTGACTTTTTTTATTTGGGAACCTTATTAAACAGAAGAGAGAGTATTTCACAGGCTTTCATTACACCTTGAAGTCGGTATAAGAAACTCGGCTGCGTCTCTTTTTCAGCCTTCATCTCGGTGTTTCCATATCAGATTAAACACACTTTCTTGTGTTTGATGTATACATCAGACCGTTTGTGTAACCTGTGTAACGTTCATGATGGCATGCAAGTCATACTCGTCCATAGGAGGGGAGGGGAGGGGAGGGGACGGCTGTCTACAAGCTAACTCGAGCAATGCACTTAGCGGTACCAGTGTCATGTACACACCCACGAACTGTTCATTCCCAGCTTACAGTAGCTTCCTGTTTTTATTCGTAGCCGTTATCAAGTCAAGCAACACAGCTGACAGCAGACGCGCCTATCAGTGTATCAAATTTCTAGTTCAACTCGCTAACAAATGCCCGCAAGCTAAGGATTATTTGCTTCAAAACACGTCTCGCTGGCAATGGGCCGTGCAGTGGCTCAAGAGGAAAATGAACGAGCATTACTGGGCACCACATACGTCATCATCCAACGAATACTCGTCCAGCCGAACATTTCAACGAACCTCAAGCGCTGCAGACACCCTTGCCGAGGCTACAGCTTTGCTTACCGAACTCGAGGCAAAGGATGGCGAAGTTAACACGAGTGATGAGGTGGACGACTCGGATAACAAGTTAGAAGGCGAAGATTGGGAAAAGGAGGGAATGACCTAAACTTCAAAGGAAAAGATTAAATGATGAGACACCGCGATTCCAGGACGGGAAGAAAAACCTTTGAAATTTTTTAACAACATTTCAAAATGGATACTGCTCACTGAAGACATTCTTGGTTGAGGTTTTATCGACTCGCTTAATCAAGTGGCCAAGTTTGCACATGTAAACAACCTTCGTGTTTTAAATTAAACCAGAAGAAAGTATTGGTCTGTTCATAGACCAGACAAGAGACACTTGTCGGCTTAGAATCACCGAACAAACTGACAGGAAAGTGCTCTTCAACGGCTTTCATTTGAAAGTTCTCTTTGGGACTTCATTCTTAAACTCAAACGTACACTGTCAGCTACATTTCGTCAACAGTTCACATATTAAAGCCTTGGAATGTGGAAGTGAATGTTATGTGCCTGTGAATTTGTGAATTCTTGGGAGTAATATTTCAAGGAAGGGGTACATTTTGGACATAAACAGCTTTTCCCGATGCAAGGAAATACGCAGTGAAATGTTTCTCACTGTCGTGAAACTCTGTTACAATGCAATATATTTTCATTGTACTTTCTAATATAGTTTGACCTCGCCGGCACTTACGTTTTTAATTTCAAAATTAAATCTTACTCTAAGTTAATTAAGAGTCGCGTAAAGCGAGTGCCATTTTGGCGTGAAATTCTGATTGCATTCTCGTCCCCAGAGCCTCTCGGCTTAACACAACGTGACCGAAAGAAAAGACGGGCTCTGAGGACGAAAATGCCCTGTTTGTCTTTACAGGCTCCCAGAGCATGCGCGTTGTGCACAGTAATCACAGTGACTGCTATGTTATTGTTTTTGTCAAATGGGGATTTACTCACCAGTTACGCATGCGTAACAAAGAATGAATTGTGTGGAATCAAGAAGACAGTCCCCTAAAAATGGAGATTTCTCTCAAATTGCATATGCCCTAAAACTGGGAGTGAGTGTACTGTGTTAACACTTGAGGTTAGAGGTCCACAAAAAATGGACTAGGAATATTCCAACAATAAATTTCGTCAATAACAAGATATATCTATCAACTTTTTTTGGTTTTGCGAGAAGAGAATTTGCCGGCCAATGTCACGAATGTCGTGACTCCGATCACTCGTCACGCACCCTATGGTTGCGTGACAGAATGAGACACTGTACAGAAACACAAAGTAGTTTTTAATGTCTGCGTCCGAGGAGGAAATCCTGCGCCATGACCATTCAAATAAAACCAGTCCAGCAATACTTGAGATGTCTTCAGTTTTTACTTTGATATCGTTAAGAATGAAAAAGTTAACTGTTCATCAATGTGCAATACTCCACTTGATTCTGCAGCATTTGTAGAAACACTTGGTGCTTCTTGTCATAATACCTGGAATTAGCGTAAGTAGTTAAAAAATTGCTTCCTTAAATAGAGAGAAACGAACAAAGAGAAGGAGAAAACTCTGTCAACTTTTTATTAATTCACGACTGAACATCAAAATAAATCCCTAGCACGAACGAATTTTGGTATTGAGATCCTTAATTCTCACCCAACAACTTTGAGAGAAACTTTATTTAACAAACGAGAGAGTGTTTCATCTGTTATTCTATAACCTCAAATCCAAACAATGTTTTTTGTACACTCTCGATCTACTTCTTGTTTTTTTTGGATATCCGATAAAACACTCCTTCTCATGTTTGATATGTCGCTACAGAGTATCTGGATATCGAATCATACACTCCCTCTCCCTCTCGTGTTTGATGTCACTCCTCGGTGTCTGGCTATCAGGTGAAAGACTCATTCTCATTTGTTGTATATCATTTCTCGATGTTTGGATATCAAATGAATCACTCCTTCACGTGTTTGAGTATACCACTACTCAGTGATGCGATACCAGGCGAAACACTCTTTCTCGTGTTTGATATAGTATTTGTCAGAGTTGGAATATCGGATGAAACACTCTCTTCTCGGTGTTTGGATACAAGAAAAGGATACAAGATAACATTTTGGATTTTCAAGGAGAGAGAAAAAACGTTCTATATGAAGGTAAGTAGTATTTTATTATTTCTTACTGTTTGAGTATGTCTTGTGGCATCACCAGTTTGCCTGCTGCATTCATGCTTTTCATGGCCTCCTTTGGAATCAAACACAGCAAATGAGGTTACGAAAAAAAAAATGTCGACAGTACAACCCATTCTAGATGTGTTACTTGTCCAATAAGAGTTTTTATCTCCGTATCCCAGTTACTTTCAAAGCGTCAGACCACATGCAGGCAAATCTCTATAAGAGGGTCATCCCTGGAACCAATAGTGAGTGTCTATCTTAGAAATGTGACCGTCTTATAGAAGGGTAAAAGACAAAGACTGACGAAGGGCAGAGACCAACTTTAGGTGTCCAGTGTTTGCAACTCGGTGAGGTTCTGAAAAACTGCCTACCTATCTAACTACCCACCACCCACCCCAAATGCCCCCCTCCCTCCCTAACCCAAAGTTAACAATACTTGTTCTTAGTCAGGGCAAACTGTTGCGCTAGGGTTGGGTAGGTGTGCCCGCAGCTCAACACCACTACCGATTTGGAGAAGAAAATTACTCTGTTAAATCACTAGCTAACCTGAACGGAGGAAAAATCGCCTGATGCGTATGCTCCCAAGATAGCTGAGCCCACAAGCACAGACTCACTTTCACGCGGCAGCACGCAGGGCAGTCCTGTGAAAAAATATTTTTTTTATACTTTTTAAAATATTCTTACAAAAGCTACTAAGAAATAAGTCAAATGTTATTTCTCGTAGTTCCTACTGGTATTGGCAGTCTCTGCCATCTTTTAGTGATTTTCCTGTCATAATGTTACAAATATTGATTATCAAGCAATATCACACTTGAAACCCTTTGCTCGACTTTCAATGGAACTGACCTGTTACATCAGCGTGAGTTTGAATAAACAACTCATTTTTACTGAGACCTCCACAAAGGAAGAGAGTGGTAATGCAGTGTCCTGCTTTGTTCAGGCTTTCAATGATGTGGCGAGTACCATGCTGAAAAAATGAAAAAAAGCAACAGCCATAATAAACACGTGTAGAACAAGCAACAGGAATGGTTGGATAAGAGTGAGGGTGTAAAAGGGAGTGGCAACATGCAATGACTAATTCAAAGCGACTAAGGTGTCGTCCTAGTTAGCTCAAAAGTGGTGTGGTACAAAATGTATTTTTACTAATACACGTTGAGACTTCGAACCAGACAAATTTATCTTTCATTACTACTGCCAACACGGACTATACACCATAAGGTTCCACAATAATGGTTTTCAAGTGGGTGATTCATGATCAATCTAAGCCTCCAAGCCTTTGTTGTCGGGTAAAGGAGACCTAGTTACAGACACAAATTTTTTGTAACTTTGAAAACCTGTGTTTTTCATCTACTATCATCTCCACCCTTCTATCTTAGAAGAAGTGCAGAGTTCAAGATGTGAGAAGGATGTATGATGGAAACTTCGGAGGGGGTGGGGCGAGTCAGGACCCCTGGGATCCCCTCGTATTTCACCTCGATTCCATTTACTTAACACTTAGTCTGTAACAAATGGTCTCTGTAGTCAAGTTGACATAGTTTATGTTACTTACTGCAAGCGCCTGTAGCGTAGCTAGATACAGAACAGCAAGACTATCTATGTCAGTCACGAGGGTTAATCCACAAATCTGAAAGAAAAATAAAGTCCGCAGGACTTCTTTTCAGGAAGAATTTCAATTATGCATTTACGGCTCAATAATTGCTCCAGGGAGGATCAAAATCAACCAGGATCCAGATTTCTTTCAGACACCACTACTAAACATTTATATTACTCCATAACTACAACACGTTTTTCCTTCTAATGATGGCAAAAACGGTGAATACTTTGCTATGGTAGGCGTGACAATAAGAGAATCTATACTTTGCGCAAGCGACTAGTTTCAAATTTAGCGTTGGCGTTTATTGTTAGTGGCGAAAAACACTTCTTAAACTGCTTACCATTCCAGTCATGGATGGATCAGCTATCGGCGATCTGTTACCATGGAAATCTGGTATCACGTGGGTATTTTGCGCTAACAATGCTACGTTCGTAAGTTGTCGTTTCTCAGCCAGAGCAGTCACGTGTCTGTTCAACTCTTCGTAAATGGAGGAACCACTGAAAGAATTCAATAAAGAAGTTATGTCACGCCAACGGTTTTAACCTTGAAGTCGTGTAGGAGCCACAGGACACCCACACAACCACAGCTCAACCAAGATTTTGTGGCATTAAGGAACTAGAAGTATCGGTATTTGTTCGTAGATGGGATGCTTGCCTAAGTTCCATTTCATTATTGGCCACTGGTTATTTTTTTAAAGACTGCACCTGTCCAAGGGGCAAGAAAAAACAATATCCCACAGCACTCATGCAATGATCTTAGAACTGAAGTCCTGAATATCCAAACAAACAAAATGCAAAAGGAATGATTTAGAGACAAAGAAGATGTATCTAACCTTTTTTCAGTTTTTTCTTTCAGTTCTGGATATGCAACATGTGTCTCTATAACATGATCAATCTGTTAATTTCACAACAAAATGGCTCCTTAGCAACAGTTGTTAATCTAACTACAATCTGAGGTGTGAGCAATAGAGTTAATCACGTATATCCTACCCCACTGCCTTCAAAGTACAAAAACCTACATAACAGTCAGCAGGCCAAAATAAAACTTCATTTCCATTGCTTTCTACTCTTACCAGTTTCCCAGTAACACTTTGGCCACCTTCATTTACCCACAGGCCTGGCACCATGGCAGAATAGTATGGCCCCCAGACTCCTGGAACAAACACTGGCTCTTGACTGATCTGAAGCACAGAAAAATAGCTCCATTAATTTTATGCAAAATTTATCCTTTGAGTCCGAGCATCTAAATACTATTTCTCTAAACTGATCTTCATACATTACGAGGATTTGATAAAAGATCAAAGCATTTTCCTGTAAGTGATCATTATATTTATTACAGTTGTACCTTTTTCTCTTGGTTATATATTGATATCGTTAAGAGAAAATTGGCATTGACCACTCTTGGCACTTAAAGGATTAACCTCGTTATTAGTATCTAGAGCTTCTCTTTTTATCTCCCTCTAAATCACTCCAGGGGAAAGGAAGAGGAGAAACCTAGGCAGAAGGTTGATGAGAAACGTAACTTTTTGGTAACAAATCACAGCAATACTTACAGCCATATGACAAGATGATGTCCCACAAATGATAGCTAGGCGAGAAGTTAAAGGTACGTTCTCGCCAAGGAGCAAACTTAAATCCGCACCAATCACACCTTCATAAAATAAAAGAAGGAGAATACAGCTATGAGAAGAAGAATCAACCACTGTTTATGCAGTAACTATGGTAACCACTCTTACCCAGTCCCCCTGCATGTGCATCAATCAGCGAGGTGCCAACTGGCATGCCTTCCCATAATCCTAAGTCATTTGCAGCTCTGAGTGTCAGACCGTTGCCGACTGGCTCACCCCCACTGCTTACTTTGCATCCTAGGGATAAGAGTATACAGAGTAAACATTTTCAGGAGATTTTCAGAAAGAGTTGCTTGAGCAGGGTAAGTGAGAGTTAAATGACAAAATGTCCTGGTAGATGTAGTATATTGCAAGAATGGCACAAGGAACTACATTTCTGTCATGTATGCAAACTAACTTACCAAGTTTGGAGTACTCAGTATCAACGAGGTCTTCCAAACCAATGATCTTTAAAAAGGAATCCACCCAGCCACTGTTAGATGAACCTGCCAATATTAACCAACACATATATGTATCAAAGCGCATCACAGATCTGGGGTGTGGGTTGGAGCAAGGCTCAGGGGCGTAGCCAGGATTTTTCAAAGGGGGGGTCACAGACAGGGACACCATCCGGGGATCGCAGACTATATATGGTTTATACTGCTGCTTTCCCTCGTGTATCAGTGGGCTCAGTCATATTATCATGGCATGAAGGCCCATATTAACTAAAGACAAGAGCTGTTGACGAAAATACTTTACAAAAAAACAAATTTTAAAAAAGTGGGCTTTTAACAATGGCTTTTACGGCCAAGATATTGTCATGGCATTTTTGCCACCTGAATATTGTAGGTTGTTTGCTCAACAGAAGGCCTATCAGGAAGGGGGGGGGGGGGGCACAGGCACCCCAGGACCCCCCTAGCTACGCCCCTGAGACTAGATAAGAAACCATGCAATGAGGGGGGGGTGGTCAAGATGTGACTTCTTCTAAACAAAAACATTCCTTGTTGGCATGAAAGCAGTACCATCCCCTTCCTCGAAGGGGGGGGGGGGGGGGGGGGTCACAGGCACCCCAGGACCCCCCTAGCTACGCCCCTGAGACTAGATAAGAAACCATGCAATGAGGGGTGGGTGGTCAAGATGTGACTTCTTCTAAACCAATACATTGCTTGTTGGCATGAAAGCAGTCTACTCACCTTCATGCAACTGTGAGTTATGACCCATGTAATTGAATTTACAAACAAGTGAACACATGGATCTGAGGAAACAAAATATTGTAATATATCTGAAATGAACACATCTAACAAGATGAAGAACAGCCTGCGAGCAAGCTCTCTGCTGTCCACTACTCTCAGAGCACCCTGCCTCTCTAGAGCCCCACCAGATATCTTGCTCACAGGCTGGATTAAGATAGATAGCATAGGTAAAACTACCACATTTAAGGATCAACTAACATTCTTCTTTTGAGATGATGTTGGGGAATTTTCTGGTTCATGGATTTCTTGGATCGTAAAATGCTAACCTTGTTGGATTATCTGTAGCTCTGTCAGTGAGAAACTCTGGCAGCTCCAGGAAAAGATCACATTTTTTCCAACACTTCACAGGTAAGTTCTCTTTCAACCAAAGCAATTTAGACATCTCCATTTCTGGTGAAATAGATCCCCCAACATAAGACAGTACTTCATGCTTTGTGTCATTGATCCTCTGTGCTTGATCAATTGCTCGGTGATCCAGCCACATTATCACATTTCGTTGGTTATCCTGTGTTGGGCTGACAGTCACAGGATCCCCAGCTGAGTCTAGAGCAACCAATGAGCATGTTGCATCAAAACCAATGCCCTTTATCTTCTGAATGAAATCCTTGTCACTGCTTATTGAAGAAGAAACTTCCTACAAATACGTAAAATTAGGAGCACAACTAGGTTTTAAAGGTAGATTATTTTTCCTGAATACTTACTACCTTTTCGCAGGAGGGAGGTGGCAGTTCAAAGGCCTTGCTATCCCCAGAAATACAAGAAAAAGTAAAATTGAAAGGCAGTATTAAAACAAGGATTTTGAGAAGGGTGTGGCACACCCCCATGCTCCGCACTCAACTCCCCGCCCCCCTCTTCCGGTGGTCCCAGATCATAAAATTGAGTAACAACTACCTTGACCACTGTGCAGACATTTCCCCATATATCTTCAGACGATTGCTCGAAATAGTTCGGCTGGGATTTCCATATTTTTAAAGGCCGGATGGCTGATGATACGATCTTGCCATTACTAGAGACGAGAGCTGCCCTTACACTTGCGGTGCCGACATCGACACCGATATAATACGTTTCTACCATTCTCTAGTAGTAGACGTTTCTGAGATCAGCCGCAATCCGCCATGTTGCCGGGCAATGGTGAAAGAGTCTGGGTACCGAGTTGATGCACAGGTACCCCAAGCTCACGAGTGAGAAGGCCTTCTGCGACAACATTAATTGTGAAACCCCGTTTGAATTGTGACTTAGACTTTGTAACGAATGGCTCTCGGAAGCGACCAGCGCCGTAGCTAGTATGAGGCCAACCGAGGCACTCGCCTCGGTAAAATTTTGACGAATTTCGCCGATCATTTTTATTTTACATAAGCGATCATCGGATACTTTTAACGCATCATGATATTACAAAGAATTCAGCAATTCAGTCAATATACTATGAAAAAATTACCATATCATCGATCTCAAGGGGCTACGTACGTTAACTCAAATTTTTTTTGAACAAAGACTGATCAAAACCATTGGCGAGGTTAACGCTCACCCAGATTATGTAGCTGGTTTCTGATTATTGCTTTTTAAATTCCACTTAAATTAACCCGAAAAAAAGTTACCGAAAGGCCCAGAAATCGCTGCAAATCGCATTTCCGAGAGACTAAAGTTCAAAATTTCTCGGNCACCCAGATTATGTAGCTTGTTTCTGATTATTGCTTTTTAAATTCCACTTAAATTAACTCGAAAAAAAGTTACCGAAAGGCCCAGAAAACGCTGCAAATCGCATTTCCGAGAGACTAAAGTTCAAAATTTCTCGGGGGGGCGGGGGCATGCCCCCGAACCCCCCTAGCAACTCCCGCCTGCCTCGGTTGGCCGTTTGGTCTGGCTACGGCACTGGCGACCGCAACCACTTTTGGGATTTCTCTCGTGAGCGGCCACTCAGAGTCTTATGACATAAAAATCAACACATCAATGAAACTGCAGACTGCCAATTGTCTAAAAAATTGGACGTAAAGTTTAGCTGTGTCTATCAGTTATCAAGATACTCATTAAACTTTAACATTTCCTTTGTCTTTTTCTGTATTAATTATATTTATGAGCCAATTTCTGAAGCTCTTGTAAGCTCTACAGCAGACGACCACTTTTCCGAAATTCCGAGGTGGTGGCTTACGAGAGCTTCAACTGGAAAGAAAAACTTCTTAAATTGTTTTCTCGTTTTATTTGTAGTGTGTTCTCTAATGCAATTTTCAATTCAATTTTTCTTGCTACTGCTTTTCCGAGACTAATTAAGCTCAAAAATGCCTTATTCTGTTGGCAAAATGCCTTAAAAATGCCATTAAAAAAATGACTTATTATACTTGAAATTAACGAAACATGGCCTGCAGAACCGTTTCTTCAAGACAACTCAACCCTATTGCATTTGTAAAAGAATATCATCGGTTCAAATAAAGAGGGCGGCCAGCCGGTTTAAGCAATATCTTTTTACTTGGTTAATTTAAAGTTCCGACAGGTGGTTTCGATATATATCGTGAACCAGTTCGAATCACCATATGATATGGTGCTGATTCAACTTCCTTCATTAATTCAATTAGCTCAATATCGAAGTAAAACAAACATCATTTCTATCTGTTAACGGACCCACTCTTTTTTGTTTTTTTGTTTTTTTCGCACTTTCTAATGAATCTCGACTTTATCTCGAACGGTCCACAAAAAAGTATCTAAAAAAAGAACAAGCCAATCTTGTTGAAACAAAGAATCGCCTGCTGATTTCATATCGGCATGGTAAGAACCCATTGCGATTGAAACAAGAGAATTTCTTTGGCCCAGTTTTTTAAAATGTATCTATGGAACATGAACCCGATTTAATGACTCCTATTACAGAAACCCCGGTAGAACGAAAGACATTCCTTCCCACAGTTATAGTGAAAGAGTGTATGGAACATATTCCGGTTGAAACGAAAGATTATTCAAGTCCCTCGGTCTTTTTTGTTAGTCCATCCTTGTTTGTAAATCAAGATGTTGGTAAAGATGACGAAACACAGTAAATTAAACAAAATACGTGAAACACAAAAATGCGAAAAATGCAGGCTTATATAATATCGTGCACACGTTGTTAACTTAGCGGCTAAAAAAGAAGCCAAAAAATCTTGACCAATACGATCTAGCCATCTTTACGGAACCAAAAAATTATAATTAAGAATTTCATTAAACTTGTCTTTGTTTTATTTCTTTTTATTGTCTTTAAGAAAGACAGGAAATGGGAATCGCAGAGGTGAACTGTGACAAGAAGTATTTCAGAGAGGGGAGCAAAGACGTGGAGGTTAATGGTATTTGCCTTTTTTGGAGGGGAGGGGTCTACTTTTAGGTTGACAACAGCCTATATCTCTAGATCACCGGACGAGATACTCCTGAAGAGATTCGTGCATGGTTGCGTGCCATGCTTTCTAAACCGTTACCTTTTTTCGGACCCAAACCGTTGCTCGTTCATTAAAGAAGCGAACGGTGAATATAAATACACCTAATTCGAGAGAGCACATAGCCCTGCTCTTCACTGTAGACCTCTCCCCTTGGTGCAACAGTTGAGTTTTGTCAAGTTGGTGAACACTCAATATCTTTTACTACACTAGATAAGCTTGCATTTATCTTGTGACATCAATAAACTGAAACTACTTTTATTTAATCCAAAACATGCGAGTTTAAAAAATAAATATCTTGGCAACCTACCATACAATGTCCCGCCCTCCCTTTGCCAAAAATAGACAAGGTCAAACATTAAACCAGTCAAAATGTTTAAAGCTGATAGTTATTTTAAACATGTTATTTCTGGGGCTCTTCGATTAATTTGGGATGGTTTAATAGATCTTCATCTTCACGTAAAACATATCTTCACGTAAACATTTTCGCCTCATCTCTTCACAGTTTCCTCACCCGATACTAGACGGTAGGATTTTGACACAGGATAGACATCACGGTACGGCTGTATCAAGTTGCGCGGAAAGGACGACAACAAAATATTTCCTTCATGACGATAGCCTTAGCACCAACAACCAAAATACTATATCCTGTCAACCAATACGATCCTGACACAGCATTCCAGCCGACTAAGGGGTCAAAATGAGGACATAGGTGCATCAAAATTGTCTTATAGTATATATTACATATCTGTTCAACAGACTTTGTCATTTGGAGTTCTTATTACTGACCGATGGTCGATCCGAGCCGTTGTTAGAGTCTGAGATCGTCGATCTGAGCTGAGTTGTAGTAGCTGTCGTTACTGAAAATACTCTCAAGCGGAAGCAATCAGAAAGTGGTATGTATGCTTTGATCTCGTTTTAAGTTATGTGTACACTTAGAAATGTGGGCTTAAACCTTGTCACGTAGTGGTATGGTACGTAGACACAGACTGACCTTATATTTGATCGCGCAAACACTCGGCAGGAGCTTTCCTGTTATTCTTTCATTTGTTGGCTTTGTTCTGAGATTGTTTGCTCGATTTTCTTGAGTATAAAGCTACTTAACTCGTATACTTCAGCGCCACTAGCACAATAGTTCAAAGTAATTGATTTTAATTCGTCTTTTAGCCACTGTAGGTAGGCGCCTAGATCACATGTAGATCACTTCCTTATCGCTGAAGCCATTGATCTAGCACGATTCAAAGTAAACAAGATCTTTGTAATGCTGTAACGAATCCAGTCTGGTTGTAAATATTTAGTAAGTTTTTATTACAAGACAAATCCCTTAGGGGTCCCCAATCAGGGTGACTGTGTTCCCACCACAGGCATACCATTAGCATTAGGCAGAGTTTAGCAAGGACAACGCAGCCTCTAGTGAAACGCGAAGCACTCAAGACAACTTCTGGTGCTCAATTGACCGCTCTTCCATTGGTCAAGCCTGGTTTTAGAAGTGCCTGAACTGCCGTCACTGTTGTCGTGTTGCCTTTTGTTAAACTGACTACTTGTCAGTTTGTGTGAAGGTTACTGTGTTTTATCAAGATTAAACCACATGGGTTTTAAAAAAGGGGTGTGTCACGTAAGACTACCTGAAATTATCAAATGAAAGCATTAACCCTTTAAGTCCCAATTAATAGTGACCAACATGAATTTTCTCCTAACAATATCCATACAATGTCAAGAGATTAGGTTATGAGAATTAATGAAATGATCACCAAAGAGAAAGTGCTGTGATCTTTTCTCAAATTCTTGCAACTTATTCTTTAAAGAAATGCATAGAGATTAGTTTGGAGAATTGGCTTGTGGAAATTGGGGCTTAAAGGGTTAAGAAAGTGCTCAGAAACATTCAGACTTCTGTTATAAAATTGCAGTCAAATCTCGTTAATATGGACACTGAGCAAGGCTGTGCTCTTAAAGGAAAGTTGAAGGGAGCCCAGTGCTCCACCTCTGGGCAAGGGGGAAGGGGGGAGGGAAGATGCCTCAATTTGACAAGCTATTGTGTTAGTGTCTTAAGAGTTTTGACCAGGGTTAGGGGTTGCTCTCACCTGAGAGCAAAAGTTAGGTGCCAGGGGCCGGAAGGCTCTGCTAGAACACAGCCCTGCTGCTGCGGGGGCCAAAGGAAGTGTCCGTATTAACAGGGTACTGTCCATATTAAGTGGGTTGTCCATAATAATGAGGTGTTGGGTCAAATATAAAATAATGCTTCTAGAAATCAAAAATTGGAGAGAAAATTATGGATAACTACAACATTAAAATATACTTGATCTTGGTTTTGAGTAACAAGATTAGATTTTGATGCAAAGGAGATCAAGCCCTATCCATGCATCTGTTATTACTGTTCAAAGCCTGATGAGTGATTACTTGTGTAGCCTGCATTACAGGNTTAAAGGAAAGTTGAAGGGAGCCCAGTGCTCCACCTCTGGGCAAGGGGGAAGGGGGGAGGGAAGATGCCTCAATTTGACAAGCTATTGTGTTAGTGTCTTAAGAGTTTTGACCAGGGTTAGGGGTTGCTCTCACCTGAGAGCAAAAGTTAGGTGCCAGGGGCCGGAAGGCTCTGCTAGAACACAGCCCTGCTGCTGCGGGGGCCAAAGGAAGTGTCCGTATTAACAGGGTACTGTCCATATTAAGTGGGTTGTCCATAATAATGAGGTGTTGGGTCAAATATAAAATAATGCTTCTAGAAATCAAAAATTGGAGAG